GAAACATTTTTCTGTATCTTCCATATTTTTCAAGATATTTGCCGGGGGGTTTTAAAATGGAACACCCTGTATACAAGGTCCTCAAAAAGTCCGGGAACGCTAAAATATTTCGAAAAATATGAAAGATATACGAAAAAATGTTTGATGCAAAAGTTGTAGAGCTTAAAAAGATCTATAATATTTAGTAGCCATATCGGTTTGACCATAGGTGGCGTTGCTAAGGTCATATCAAGATCAACTTTGTTTTTTTAAATAGAACCCCCTATTTTTTATTAGAAATTCTTGTAGCTTATCTCGAGAGCTTTCTAAAACACTATAATGAAGTAATTTTTTATTAAGTTCTTATCGAGTTATAACGCTTGAAAGTTACAGTACCGCCTTCATTAGCATTACCCAAAGTGTACCACGTGGAGGTTGCACGGTCGGATTTACACCTCGCATGTGTGTGTGTGTGTGTGTCACTACAGAGATCAGGACCCTATGGTTCGTCACTCCCGCAGTATTTTAAGACCCCAAACCCTCTCCGTAGTGTGTGTGTGTGTATGTAGGTAACATTTTTCAAGCTATTGTTTTTTACTTTTTCAATTAATCAAATGTTCAAAATGTCTTCCTTCTACTGTTTGGCAATGAGCTAAACGTTGTAGAAACTATTGATTACATGGCTTATTTGTTCTAAAGTGATCAGAGATGCTTCCTGCATTATTCGATTCTTCAGGTCTTCTCAATTACATAGTTTCCTCGCATAAACCTTACTTTTGATGTATTCCCAAAAAAAGAAATCAAGAGGAGATATATCAGGTGATCTAGCAGGCTACTCAATGGCACCTCTCCTACCTATCCATCAATTAAGAAAAGAACAGTTAAAAAATTCTCGAACTCGTACCGCAAAATGAGGTCCTGCTCCATTTTGCTGGAACTAAACGTTTTGCATGTTTGCGTCAAATAAATTTTCAATTTCAGGAATGATTTGATCTCGCAACAAATTTTCATATTTTTCAGCATTTAAATCACCATCTATGAGATATGGGCCTATAATACCGTGACTACAGATTCCTGTCCAAATATTCAATGGATATTGCGTGCGAAAATCACTCATCCAATGTGGATTTTCGTCATTCCAATAACTACAATTGTGGCGATTAACAGCACCATTTATTTGAAATGTGGTTTCATCGGAAAAAATAACAAAATTTAAAAAGTTAGCATTATCATCACATCGATTCATCAGTTCTTCACAAAACTGAATTCTTCTATCAAAATTATCTTCCATAAGTTCTTGAGCGATAACAATTTTATACGGATAATATTTATGCTTTTTTAAAATGTTAGAAACGTTGCCTTCATTGATATCATGGGCTTGTGCTGTTTTTGATACAGACAAATGAGGATTTTCCTGAAATGATTGGAGAACGTTCAAAGTCTTATCATTAGTTGCGGATTTTGACCTTCCAAATGGCCTGCGAGATCGGTCCTTAACTGTTCTCGTTTCAAAAAAACGAATCACTGTTCTGCAAACGGTGGATTTAGAAATAGGATCAAGATCAGGATGTATAACATTGAATAGATCAGCTATTTCTTGATATGATCTAATACGGTCACCAAATCCTCGATAAATAAGTAGGAATATTCTTTCTTTTTCGGTCAACATTTTTCAGAGAAAAGTGTGATATTATAATCGGAAAAAGAAACAAAAGAGACAAAAAGCGAGATACACGCGGTACACTTTGAATAATGTTAATGCCGGCGGTACTGTAACTTTCAAGCGTCATAACTCGGAAAGAACTTAATAAAAAATGACTTCATTATAGTGTTTTTGAAAGCTCTCGAGATAAGCCATAAGAATTTCCTATAAAAAATAGGAAATTCTATTTAAAAAAACAAAGTTGACTTTCATATGACTTTAGCAATGCCACCTATGGTCAAACTGATGTGACTACTAAATAGATCTTTTCAAGCCCTATAACTTTTGTATCAAACATTTTTTCGTATCTTTCATATTTTTCGAAATATTTTAGCGTTCCTGGACTTTTTGAGGACCCTGTGCAGTATCCTCAGAGATTAAACATTCAAGATATTCAGGCGTGATATCATTGGTCATTTTCTTGTTAAGTGGCATTAAGTACCTGCTAGTAAAAACTTATATCCTAATAGTATACAAAATATTTGGTTTCAGTAGAGTAGAACAGAGCCTCATTTTGTTTTAACAGTTAGACAAGACTTAAAGGTGATATGCTTACTGATCGATGGATAGGACGTAAAAGAGCGATAAAACTGCCAGTTAGGTCATCAGAGAGTAATCATCTATTTTCTGCAGGAAGTTTTAAAAAAGATTTATAAGATAAATTCTCGTAATTTGCAGGAATTTTAGGCTAAAATGAAGTAACATTTATCATATATTATAACATATATTATGAAGTAATAAAAGTAGTTTAATAAACTACATTCTTTTTCATTCTTTTCCTCATACACACACACACACACATGTGCATATACATGCACATATATACACATATATACATGCAATACACAGCAGAGAAAGTTTACAGTCGTTAAATATTACAGCAATGGTAAATCGTGAATTTTTTATCTTTACTATGACACGCATACACACACACACACACACACATATGCATATCATGCGGAGGAGATAAAATCCTATCAACTGAAACTGTATCACGAGAGCGCGCTAAACCGAGGTGGAGGGAGGGGTGGGGACATTATTATCAATAAAAAACAGAGCGCAACCAGAAGGAATACGCGAATAATGAAAAATACGCGTTCCGCTGGGGAGTATAATTTAACCGCAAACAATGCGATAAAGAGGCAAAAGCAATGGAAAAAGGGGAAAATAAAATCGTGCGCGTCATAGGTGAGGCCGTCGATTATCGTGTGCGCGGTGTGCGAAGACAATAAAATATGTCAAACAGTGTCTGAAACGACCGAGTGAAATTTTTAACGAGGCATTACCATTGCAAATCCGTGTGCGGCTCATTGTAAAATCGGCCGTGCAACTCACGGAAATGGTTGTTGCAAAGCGAAATTATCCGTAATTGTAATCAATCCCATATTTGTCACGTGACACATATGTTAAAGAAAGTCTCTACGAATCTACGTGGTTCATGTCGATGGCAAACGCAATAAAACCGCTATCTTATATGTGAACACGAAAAAGGGATTACTGATTGTGTGAGTCATATAATCATATCATATCAAGGAATATAATCAAGGAAAAGATTCGAACATGAAGTAATTGTCATCTGTTAGTTAACAAATTCCATGCCAAACTGATTTTATAAGAATATATGATTATTATTAATATCACATGAGTCACATTATGAGTCAAGTTCTTCATTCTCCATTTGGTTTTCGTATAGGTAATTGCAAATATGATAGAACATGAATAACTGTCCTTATTTGCACAGTAATAATTTGCACTTGCTTATTTGACTGATAATAATAAGGAAAATTTGCTCCTTCGGACATTTTACAACATTTTACATTACTTTCTTCCGTTATGTTTTATGTTTTTATCGCTGTGTAAGTAATTTCACGATTTATTTTTATTTTAAAGTCGGCAAAATATTTTACAATATATGAATACAAAGCTGAATAATTTAAATAAAGCTTGATGTTTTTGCTTATCTATGCAATTAATCTATCTAATCTATGCAAAAAGGAAGTAAGAATAGTAATATATCGTTTATATTATTTGAGTTTTAAAATATCTTACAATTAGATACAATATTATCGTACCGCCATGTAATTTCTAAAAGCATGATTATATCATAATCACGTTATCATAGATATTAAAAGATATCGGAAAATATAACGTCAGAATTGTTGATAATGTAATTATGTAAGTGCTATTTCAGAAACTCAATCATGTTTCAAGTTAGCAAGAATACTTGTATATAATATCATGTAAAAACTGTTACTGTTTTACGTCGCAAATAAAACATTATGCAACAACCTTTTTTTGTCTCCTTCATAATAATCACATGTAACATTTATATATTTCCATTGACATGATCGTGATCATTGTACGCAGTACTTGACGGCTGGTTGCTATTTAAAATTAATTAGCACACAACGCTAAGTGACTTTAAAAAATTGAAGTCGCTCAAATTATCTATTGTGAACACGATGCTTCGGAACGCGAATATTTAAGTTACTATATTTATTATAACATAAAAAATAATTTCAAGTATACACATTTCAATTGCATCTTATGCGAGAAGAAAATATGCTTCGAGATAAATATACGTTCATCAAAATCTTAAGGCCATATATCAATGAATCAGTAAATTTATGAAGTATATTACAATCATTTATGAGTGAAAAATATTGTGATTAATAGAAAGTTAAGAAGAACGTCACAAGTGTGTATAGACATGTACATATACTACTGTATACTTTAAAATACATGTGCGTGTGCATATTTATAAAATTATATATTCATCATTCAAATACTTCATAACACGTATGTTTTACATTTTACAGTCATTCTTGGATTTCGGTAAATTTGTTTGAACTGTTTCAACAAATTTTATTGAACTGATGGCTAGAGAGAAATCTTTTCCAACATTACATTTTTTCCGATAGAAAGGAATAAATTAAGGAATGTACTAAGATCCCATTGAAAGTAAAATTTATAAAATTGAGATAATGAGCTCGATTAAGACGAAAGTTCGATTTAACATGTGGCCATATAGATGCAACGAATCTGATGAATCCAAAGAGTTTTAACATTATATAACAAATTATTTATAACAATAATAATACAAAAATGTTTAATTTTCATATCATATATATTTACCTTCACACGTTTTGTCACATAATATTATTCAGTTAATACTGATCAAACATCAGAATTCCCGGCTATTATTAGTTCTGTTTATATTTATTTATATCGTTTATGCAAATCGTAGAAAGTTTCTTAAAAAATAAAATATAATACCCGAGGAGAATGAGAAAGAGCATTTATTCATTAATTCACTTACTCAATACGTCAAATTGAGGCAACCATTTCTTGAACATGACATTGTTCAGTCTGCGTGGCAGGACGTCTTCTTCCCATTTCCAAAGCACCTTTCGTGGGATTGATCCAAGCACATCGAGTATCGTATCCAGCTTCTCTCGCGGTATCGTTGTCATCTTGATCATAGAGCCTAAATTGAAGTAGAGTACTCCTTCGTGCGCATTATCTAGGAATTCAGCTACGTCCTTAGGCAACGGTTTCGTTCGCGACGGAATGTGAAGGCCGCCGACCTCTACAATGTTCGGTAATAGAGGTACGCTACTATGGAGACTGCTATGGGTATTTACCAGTAACGCCTGCGTTCGTTTCGCGATCTCTCTTAAATTTGGAAGATCCGGTCCAAACACCTCATTAGCAATGCACTGATCTTGAAATCGGAACCAAAATTCGTAGGCTGCTTTGACGAATGACAATGTCACTCTATTTAACAGCCTGCTGAAGAAATCCATAGGTTTGGCTAATCCTAAGAATATCAGTGGGATATAATTGGGATTGTCCTCGTTGCCCATGTCTTCATTCAACCACGGCATGATCTGATGCGATGATAAGCTGATGTAAGGCGTCTTGAATTTATGGATAAAACCTAGGAAGCAATCGGTATTGAAGCTTTCCGTGATGATCAGGTCAAATTTCTTCTTAGATTGGAGTAACTCTTTGACGGCTGGATGATTCAGACCGATCTTGCACGCTACATCAGCCATAGATCTCAACAATCTGAGCTCATTTATCACGCGAATAACATTGTGTCTAATCATATGGAGGTCTATAATATTCGTATAAATAACGTCGTCAGAGTTTAACATAATGTCCTTGTAAGTCGGTAATAGCTCTTTCGCTTTAGCGCTCTCGCTTCTAGCAAAATATGAGATAACCGTGACATTGTGACCTCGGCGCGCCAACTCTTCTAAGAGTGGCTTGAACACATCGAAGTGACTCTTGCCGTAGTGACCGAAGACTCCGAGTATTTTTAGCTGCAATCTGGTCGTGTTTACGAACGTGTCGTTAGTAACCAAAATTGACGATGATGACAACGAGAAAACGATGAGAAGGAACATTGTAGATGAATATACTCGCCAACTACACATATCTCGATAGCGCGTAGTAATAATTTCGTTTTGTAACTAACGAAGGAACGTAGTCAAATCGATAATTTCACCGAACAACGGTCAACCTTCGCTGTGGGTCTTCGCCGTCGAACTGGCAGTTAATCAATCAGTTATACAGTGTCTGGTCGGTTTCTTCGCTGCTGTTAGCATAACGTCACGATGTGCCAATGGTGGGGATTCACGTACGTGCTAGTGCTTTTAAATGTTTCGCTGTATTGTGACTCAACAATTATATGCTCTTGCATAAGATGTTTTTGATGTGATGATAGCACGAGATCGGAAAGGAATATGCTATTCTCTACTGTATTTATTTATCATAATTTATCATAATTACCAATACATACACAGGGTGTCGCATTTTGAAAACCTCGATAATTCTTCAATGAAGCATTTTCAACAAAAATATTTCGAACAAAAGTTGTATTATTTCAAGGGGGATATAAAACAACTATATTATTTTGCTTACAAATGGCATCACTTTCGAGATATTCACTGATCATTACTTTTCCAAATGGAAACTCCAATTTTTTATTACACTGTCTTTTTCTACCAATTAATTTAAACAACTTTTATCTGAAATATTTTTTATTTGCCTGAATATTTTTTGAGATATTTAAGGATAACTTGACAATTTTTTCAATATCTAACTCACGATATCTTGCTATTCGTCGGAAGAAAAAGTGGTATTAGACTTTTTTGCTCTACTTGGTCTCAAGAATATATTGTTACAATAGCGCCCTGACTTTTGTTAATTTGATGATTTTGAAATTTCCAAAAGCTAGTAAGTTAATAAAAGTCAGGGCGCTATTATAACAATATATTCTTGAGATTAAATAGAGCAGAAAAGTCTAGTACCACTTTCACTTTCTACAAATAGTTAGCGAGATATTGCAAGTTAAATATTGAAAAAGTTACCAAGTTTTCCTGAAATATTTAAAAAAATATTAGGCAAATAAAAAAATGTTTCAGACAAAAGTTGTTTAAATTAATTGGTAGAAAAAGACGATGTATTAGGTGTACAACTTTGCTTTTGCCGTTTTTTCCTAAATTCGAGGCTTCATTGTAAAAAACTGGTTATACATTTATGATTCAAAGTATTATCCATCGCTGGCCATTACTTTCTCCCATCTTTCGGGCAGCGTACGAATCCCGCGTTGAAAAGCTGGTCATCTTTTGAAGTGATCCACGAATCGATCCAATTTCTTACTTCTTCATAAGACCGAAAGTGCTGGTCAACCAGGCCGTGTGCCATTGATCAAAACAAGTGATAGTCAGAGGGAGCAACGTCTGGCGAATACGGCGGGTGGAATAGGACTTCCCATTTCAACGTCTCCAAGTATGTCTTGACCACTTTCGCAACATGGGGTCGAGCATTATCATGCTGCAAAATCACTTTATCGTGTCTCTTGTTGTATTGCAGCCGTTTGTCTTTCAATGCTCGGCTCAAACGCATTAATTGCGTTCGATAACCATCGCCTGTGATTGTTTCAGTCGGTTTTAACAGCTCATAATACAGTACGCCGAGCTGGTCCCACCAAATTCAGAATATGACCTTGGAGCCATGAATATTCGGTTTAGCCGTCGACGTGGAAGCATGGCCGGGATATGCCCATGATTTTCTGCGCTTGGGGTTATCGTAATGAACCCATTTTTCGTCCCCAATCACAATGCGATGCAGAGATCCCTTCCGTCTTTGCCTTTCAAGCAACTGTTCACAAACAAACGAACGCCGTTCAACATCTCTCGGTTTCAACTCGTACGGCACCCAATTTCTTTGCTTCTGAATCATTCCCATGTCTTTGAGGCGTTTTGAAATTGCTTGTTGAGTCACTGCCAATGATCGTGCCAATTCTTCTTGACTTTGACATGAGTCTTCATTAAGTAATGCCTTCAATTCTGCATCTTCGAAAACCTTCTCTGTTCCACCGCTATGCCGGTCTTCGACATGAAAATCACCGTTCTCGAAGCGTTGAAACCACTCACGACATGTTCTTTCACTAATAGTGGCCTCACCATAAGTATTTGAGAGCATTCGATGAGCCTCAGCCGCAGATTTCTTCATATTGAAGCAGAAAATTAAACTCTTCCGCAAATGACGAGAATTTGGCTTGTAAACTGACATTTCAATCGAGAATAACTTTATGATGCAGACACAAATCGACTAATGTTTCTATGGAATTATGTTGACAGATTTAAGTTTATATTTAATTAATTTATTTAATTTAATAAACCAAGTTTATTGCATGACGTCTATGATCTATTTATTTCGACCACTATTTACCGCTAAAGCCATCTATAGGAAAACGGCGGAAGCAAAGTTGTACACCTAATAATAAAAAATGGAGTTTCCATTTAAAAAAGTAACGGTCAGTGAATATCTCGAAAGTGGTGCCATTTGTAAACAAAATAGTATAATTGTTATATGTCCCCCTTGAGATCATACAACTTTTGTTCGAAACATTTTTTGCTGAAACTGCTTCGTTGAAGAATTATCGAGGTGCGTTGTTTAAAATGGGACACCTTGTATAGACTAATAAGGAAACCTTCATCTAGAGGAGAATAATGCCAACTCATTACAGAAAATCTATGTGCATTAACTCGAGGAAATGAAATGAATTTACGTAACCTCGCGATATTTTCGCGATGATTGTGCTACGTTCTAATGTAAATAATAGCTATTGAATCGTAAAACCCAAAATATATTTGAAGGTATTTCTAATATTTATCGTTCCTTAAATCAAATATGTTAAGAAAATGAATTGTTTCATATTGCTATTTGTAGATGTTTGTAAGTAAGATGTTAAAATCTTTTGTATATTAGTAATGTGATAGAATTATTAAAATATTATTAAGACATTGTTAAAAATCCTTAATTTTTCTGTAATATTATTAAAACAATGTTAAAGACTATTAATTTTTCTATGACATAGAAAAAAAGCAATCTTGAGAAAAATATATAATCAGCTAATATATTTAATAAAAAATAGAGAGATTATAGTAAAACGTTAAGATGGTAAGAGCAAAACGTTCAAACTATTTGAACTATAGCACTGCCTAGTTTATTAAGCAATAATAGCCGGCACGCGACGAGAAAAAGGAAGTCATTATATATTATTAAATATACGCTTACATCACCATCTTGCTCGCATAAAAGTGCGCTATACACTCATGATTATAAATATAAAATCACTTTATGAAACAGCAAAATAGTTCAAATTGAAACCATAATAAGTTTCTATGATAAAAAATCAAAAGAAAAAAAAAGATGGAAACTGATAGGACCTATGTTGTGCAGTACCTAGATACAAGTACTTAGATACTGTAACTAGATACAAATTTACGTACCTAGGTACTGTTCCGAGGTATTTTTTTTCTCTGGTACCTATATCTATACCTAGGTATAATTTCTTGTGTACCGATATCTATATTCAGTTACATTTTAGTTACTTTTTGAATGATATTTTTCTACATCAAATAGTAAATACACGTTCAACAGGCGCGCTCGACATTTAGCTTATTATTGTTATATAACACATGTGTTATGTAACAGTTATATTGTTGAGTAGGAAATTACAACTAACATGCACGTTACATGTAATATTATGTTTGCTGAGTAGCATCTTAACTTATTGCACTAGTCCAGCAGTGCAGCTAAAAGGAATAGACCCTCTGTATAACTCACATAGCAACTGTTACTATCCTAAAATTTAAATTAAAATGACTCGCAATGTCCGATTGTCCAAATTCAAAAGAATTGTGTGAAAATGTACTACTAGAAGAAGCATACTTTTTCCTTTATAAAGACGTAAATAATCTGAAAAAGTCTTCATCAGAATTGAAGGAAGACACTTTCTTCTCTTTTCTACACGATAAAAATGTAGATGTAAATAATATTGATATCATAACAATATCAGGTGCTACCAAACAATTAGATATAAAAATACAGTGCTTAACGTATTTATATGACAAATCAAAAGACTTGAATACTTTAAATAAATATCCAATTATAAAAAGAATTTATATAAAATATAATACACTTTTACCGAGCTCCGCGCCTGTTAGTGCATTTAGTGCAGAACAACAAATTTTAACGCCGCGACGAAATAATTTGTCTGATGACAATTTTGAATGTTTGATATTTTTTTAAACATAATGCATAAATGTTAAATGAATTATTTGAATACCAATCTAGAATAGTAAAACTAATTAATAATTTTATAAGTGTTATTTCATTTTATTATACATGTTAAACTTATTTGCATAGAATATTTATGTATACAGGGTGCACGATTTATCTGAAGACATTGAAATATCTCGAGAACTATGCATTGGATAAAAAAAAGTGGTTAATGAAAGTTGTTAGCCTCGAAGGGGGACATCCAATGATACCAAACTCGACCTCCCATCCCACCCCCTGGGGGTGGGGGTTGGGGGTAACTTTGAAATCTTAAATGGAAACCCCCACTTTTTATTGCAGATACGAATTCTACGCCACAAAATACGTAAATTTTGTTCGAAACTTTTATTTTGATTCGTGATAGATGGCGCTGTAATAGCAAAAAATTATATTTTCCGCAATTCTCCAGAAAAGATCATTGGATTGAGAAATAAAAAATACCTGTTGAATATTTTTAAAGAACATAATAAAAGTTATTCCCCCCCATCCTCTCGGGGTAGAGTGGGTGGTAACGTTCAAATCTCAAATGGGGACCTACATTTTTCATTGCAGAATTTGCCTTTTATAATAAGCCGTAGTTCGCCATACACCCATAGTGGCGCGTCGAGCAGTTCCCTCTTCAATTCGGGTTCCCATTTGAGATTTGAACGTTACCACCCACCCTACCCCGAGAGGATGGGGGGGAATAACTTTTATTATGTTCTTTAAAAATATTCAACAGGTATTTTTTATTTCTCAATCCAATGATCATTTCTGGAGAATTGCGGAAAATATAATTTTTTGCAATTACAGCGCCATCTATCACGAATCAAAAAAAAAGTTTCGGACAAAATTTACGTATTTTGTGGCGTAGAATCCGTATCTGCAATAAAAAATGGGGGTTTTCATTTAAGTTTCAAAGTCGCCAACAACCCCCACCTTCAGGGGGTGGGGTGGGAGGTCGAGTTTGGTATCATTGGATGTCCCCCTT